GTTACCCCTTGATCCGTGCTCAGGTGTTGTGTGGACGTGACCGCGTGTGCGTGATAGACGTGTGCGTGATGACGTGATGTGTATGACCTAATGTGATGGTGATCGCGTCTAGTAACCATGGTGACACGGTGCAAACATAAGTGTATGATATACTGTGCATGTATGCTAAAAGTCCATAAAAATAGGAGGATAATGTATGTAAACTGAAGTATATAAAAAAAATAACTAGATAGACTGTGTAAGTCTGTAACATGTAATAGACCACAGAAGTAGAAAACCAATGTGTGGATGAAGAGAAAGGAGCTGGTGTGTGTATAATGAAGAGAGTGTGGAAAGGGAAGGGTGAAAAGTGTGGATCAAAGAGAGAAATGGAAAGAAAGGATGGTGGACAAAAACAGGGGAAAGATGAAAATGTGAATTAATGTAGTGGAACATAGAAAAGTGATGTGAAAGTGTGAAGTGTGAGGAGTGTGGAAAAAATGTGAGAAAGTGAATGGGACCCATAAACCGGGACCAAAACAAAAGCTGAAAAGTGATTTAAAAAAAATCTTATCCAGCATTACATCACCTGTCTATACATGTAGTATACATGACATCCTGCCCTTGTGGCCTCTATTACGTGGGGAAAACAGATCTCACCCTACGAGACACAACACAGCAGCCGGCCATCACAATATACGTGCTAATGCACGCCCTTCCTCATTACAGCCACCCATCCCATCAGAGAAACACCAGCCGCCATTCCCAATATGGCCACTGTTCTGGATGCCATCTAATGATGCCAAACATTGTTACCATTATGTGCGCCAACATCATCATGGACGTGCCGGCGCACACCGCAATGCCCCCACTAATGGCCAACCATGGCCGTAACTTAAGCTCCCAACTCCACTCCCAATATGGCCGCCATCTAATGTATTACCCATGCTGCCATAGAAGTTCCCAATGCCACTCCTAATATGGCTGCCGACATATACGTCCGCCAACCAAAATATGGCTGCCGTCTAATATATTACCCATGCTGTCACATGAATTTACTTATTTTACTTATACTAGCCTCTAAACCCTTTGTTTTTAACATGTTTTATTACAAAAAAACATTTAATTTAAGTACTAAATTTAAAAATCTGTCTTTCTTTCTTCTTTTATGTCAGCTATCTATATGTTAAATTTAATTGGCAAACCTAATTTTGGTGCCAATTTTAACCATTTTAGCCCAATATATACTCCAACTGCCAGGTTGTATACTACTCTATCCACTTGAAGAAGTCCTAGGTAAAACGTGTTTGGATATTTTATATTGTGAATTAATTTAAAGTTTTTTTGTCACTACCCTGTGCCAATTATCTCTTTTATTTTACAGTGATTTTACATCCTGGCATTTTACTTTTCCTGTACTCCAAACAATCCTAGGTGGGGATCATACCACTAATGCTGATTGTAGCAGATGGTACTATGGCTGTCCTAAAAGACTGTGTTAAAACTGCAATTCATGTGTTGTTTCTGCTGTATAGTTAATTGTAAGTAGAATTCGTATGATTGTTCGGTAGTTTCCATCTGTATTTCATATGAATGGAAACTACCGAACTAATAGACCACCCAAGAGTGAAGTGTGTCCCTCGTTAAGCTGCAAATTGCTCACTAACCGCAGACTAATAGGTGTTTTATGTATGTAACTGGGTGGCCGCCATTCGGCATGCGAACACGTGGCGGCGGCCATCTTACGCACGAAAGGCTCATCGGTGTTTGGTCGTCGAGTGTCTGGAACTCAAATCAGACACTCGATTACCCGAACACCGCTGACACCTCCAGAGTTCCGTAACTCCCGAACGTAACTTCCAAAATTCACCCAGATCAGAGGGTGTAATTTGACCGACTGCACACGAGGTGGTATCCGAAAAGAGTTCCATGCGTTTTGGCCCTGCGGTCGGTCTCCGTTCAGGAGTTGAAAGACATAAAAAACTGCCATACACTAATACATTTACGTTCGCATGATTCCCCTCATTCGGTACTTTAAACTTACCGAACATGGAGCTGATTCGCCTTCCTGTTCGGGAATTACAGAACTCTGGAGGTGTCAGCGGTGTTCGGGTAATCGAGTGTCCGATTTGAGTTCCAGACACTCGACGCCCAAACAACGCTGAGGGTTCGTTTGTGCGTAAGATGGCGGCCACCCAGTTACATACATAAAACACCTATTAGTCTGCGATTAGCGAGCAATTTGCAGCTTAACGAGGGACACACTTCACTTTGGGGTGGTCTATTAGTTCGGTAGTTTCCATTCGTATGAAATACAGATGGAAACTACCGAACAATCATACGAATTCTACTTACAATTAACTATACAGCAGAAACAACACACAAATTGCAGTTTTAACAGTCTTTTAGGACAGCCATAGTACCATCTGCTACACTGATACCATAGAGCAGTTAGCCTGCTCTATCCTTGTAAGTACATTTTTATTCATTTTATTTAATGATATTTTTATATTGAGAGCACTATTAGTTGTCTTTTTATCCCTTTCCTGAGTTTTGGATATCACTCCTGAGGTGGACACTTGCTGCATATCCTATTATGCTAGAGCTTGCTATAGCTCACATAAATGTGAGTGTATTACCATTATTTCTACTAATAACATATCTCTAATCACATTTATTGTACTATCCGCTGTCCTCTGTTTTTTGTCTTTTATATATGCAAACTAAGGGCTCGGATTAATTGACTCATCATTTCAACTGAGGAATTTTCATTTTTCTATCAAGTACTTTATAGTGACTCTCATCTATAATTATAGTCACCTATACAAAAGGATCTCTGTAGCGGAGATGCAATATTACCCAGGTTATCTCCGCTTATAATCCAAGTGAGACTCAGGAACAAGTAAATAGTAAATCCAAAGGCAGGGTTTCCAGCATGTAAAATACAGCAATATCCCAACAGCAATCCCAATAACTGGACGACACACAGTTTCAGGAGCATAACCGGCAAGCCTTTAATCACAGTCTCCTTATAAAGCATGCTCCCATGCAAGGGAGGAACTTACAGTAATTATTACAGTAGCCAATCCTGTCCTGGTAACCTCCCACACATCTCCTCCCCTCAGTCAGCATCATAATCCCCTTATCCAGCACACCAATTCCCCCTATTTCTGGATGTACCCCTAAACGTAGGGGTACCTCTTTAAATCATACATCCCCTGATAGCCCTGATCTGGGTGAACAACATATCCAAAAATCACCCAGATCAGACCAGGGGTTCGGGAAAAGTATGGAGGGAATAAAATGACCGACCGCACGAACTGAGATAGCCGAATTCGGTTCCATGTGAATGGGCCTTGCGGTCGGTCCTGGCATAAGGGAACAAAATACATGAAAGCCTCTAGCTATAGAGGCTAGGGAGGGTTCGCCTGAATCCCCTCGTTCGGTATTCTCTATCTACCGACCGAGGGGCCGTTCGGTAGTTTGGAACCGAACGGACCTGGGCTGTGGAGGTCTCAGCGGTGTTCGCCTACTCGAGTGTCCGATTTTAGTTCCAGACACTCAACGGCAAAACACCGCTGTTCGGGAGTTTTAAAATGGCCGCCGCCACGTGTTCGTTTGTCGAATGGCGGCCACCCCCGAGAACAAAGGACGGCTACTTACTGTGCAATTACCCGTTCGCAACAATGTTGCAACGGGTAATTGAAGACACACTTCACACAGGGGAGGTCTGGTTGTTCGGTAGTTTCATTCGAATAAACTAAGGGAATGAAACTACCGAACAATCAAGGGAATACAATTCTTTTTAATACACAGAAAATACAGCAGATACACGGATGCAGCTTTATACAGTATTTTTGTAGGGTCGCCTGGTGCCATCCGCTACACTGCTCCCCCTTGCCCACAAGCCGGCATACACAGTCTGATCCAACACGGATCGACTTGGGGATGTCCGGGGAGGCTCACGGATCATTTCTCTAGGTCAGTTTGTCGAGACAACCCATCAGCATTTCCATTCTGTTTACCCGGGCGGTACTGGATATTAAAGTCAAAGGGCTGCAGCGCCAGACTCCAGCGCAGCAGCCGGGCATTGTCCCCAGCCACCCGGTTTAGCCATACTAACGGGTTGTGATCCATGAGTAGGGAAAAAGCTTGGCCATACAAATATGGCTGTAATTTCTTCAGGGCCCACACCACAGCCAGGCATTCTTTCTCGATGGCGGCGTAGCTTACTTCTCGAGGTAACAGTTTCCGGCTGATGTAAGCCACGGGATGTTCTCCGCCATCGGCCCCGACTTGGCCCAATCCAAACATAGAAGCGTCTGTGTGGACAAGAAAACGTTTAGTTGGATTGGGAGCGGCCAAGACCGGGGCATTTGTCAATGCATCTTTTAACAACTGAAATGCCTGTTCACACTCCGGGGTCCAGGTTACTTGGCGGGGTAGGTTCTTACGGGTCAAGTCGGTGAGAGGTTTGGCCAGGGCACTGTAATTCGGGACAAATTTCCGGTAGTATCCGGCCGTTCCTAAGAATGCTAACACCTGGGTCTTAGTCCTAGGGGTGGGCCATTGAGCTACAGCCTCTACTTTGGCTGGTTCCGGCTTTTGCTTGCCGCATCCTACCCGATGACCTAGGTACTGTACTTCAGCCATTCCTATGCTGCATTTGGCTGGTTTCAGCGTTAAACCAGTGGCCCTAATCCTGTCTAGGACCGCTCCTATATGGGTCAGGTGTTCCTGCCAGGTATTGCTGAAAATGGCAATATCGTCGAGGTATGCGCAGGTATAATCCTGAAACCCATCTAGGAGGCGGTCCACCATCCGCTGGAAAGTAGCCCAGGCGTTTTTCATCCCAAACGGCATGACCTTAAATTGGTACAAGCCGAATGGGGTGACAAAGGCCGACTTAGGGATGGCGTCTTGTGCCAAGGTTATTTGCCAATACCCTTTACACAAGTCAATGGTGGTGAGATAGTGCCCCCTCGCCATCCGATCCAGGAGTTTGTCTATCCTGGGCATAGGATAGGCGTCCGAGACCGTCTTCTCATTTAATCTCCGGTAGTCTACACAAAACCGGGTCGTGCCGTCCCGCTTTGGTACTAGTACTACCGGAGATGCCCAGGGGCTGTCAGAGGGCTCAATCACCCCCAGCTGGAGCATCTCATCTATCTCCTTGCGCATGTTCGCCCGTACCGCTTCGGGGATGCGATACGGGGTCTGACGCATGGGAAGTTGCCCTGGGGTGTCTACTCGGTGAGTGGCCAGAGGAGTGTAACCAGGTACATTAGAGAAGATATCCTGCTTCTCCCTTAACAGCTGTTGTACCTCGCTCCGCTCCTGTGGGCTCAACCGATCCCCCAGGGTGACCTCCCCTAAATCCCCGGATAACTGACCCTCTCCCAGCAGATCCGGGAGAGGTAAACTGTCAAACTCCTCGGAGTTAGGCGCACATATAGCGGTCACTTCCTCCGAGCGCTCCTGGTAGGGCTTCATCATGTTCACATGGAGCATGCGTCGCCCCAGTACCAACGCACGAGCCGATTATATAAGTGGTGTCACACCGTTGTTCCACCACCTTATAAGGGCCCTGCCAGGCGGCCTGCAGCTTATCGTGTCGGACAGGTTTTAAGATTAACACCTTCTGCCCGACCTGAAAGCTACGGTCCCTGGCGCCCCGATCATACCATGTGCGTTGGCGTGTCTGAGCCACCTGCAAATTCTCGCGTACCGTCTGAGTTAAGGCCTCAAGGCGGTCTCGGAATGCCAACACATAGGGTATGATGGGGGTACCGTCAGTGCTCCGTTCTCCCTCCCAATGCTCTCTGATCAAATCTAAAGGCCCTCGTACCCTGCGGCCAAACAATAGTTCAAATGGGGAGAACCTAGTGGATTCCTGCGGCACCTCCCGGTAAGCAAAGAGGAGGTGCGGCAGGAACTTCTCCCAGTCCTTGTGGGTCTCTGCGAAGGTTCGGAGCATTTGTTTCAATGTACCGTTGAAACGTTCGCAGAGCCCATTCGTCTGGGGGTGGTACGGGGAACTAATGACCGGCTTAATGTCACAAAACTTCCAGAGGCGCTGCGTGACTTCGGCGGTGAACTGGGTGCCCTGATCGGAGACAATCTCCCTGGGGAGTCCCACCCGAGAGAATATCTTCATCAGGGCTTCGGCTACTGTCTCAGCCTGTATATTCGTCAGGCCCACCGCCTCTGGATATCTAGTGGCATAATCTACTACTGTCAGGATAAATCTTTTACCTGACGGGCTGGCTTTGTTGAGGGGTCCTATTAAGTCCACTGCTACCCTGCTAAAGGGTTCCTCGATTATGGGGAGGGGATGTAACTTGGCCTTGCGCCGGTCCCCCCTTTTCCCCACCCTTTGACAGGTATCGCATGTGTTGCAATACCTGCGCACCTCCTGGCTAATTCCCGGCCAAAAGAAACTTTGGGTTAACCTGTATCGGGTCCTGCTGACCCCTAAATGTCCAGATAGCGGAATGTCATGGGCTATCCGCAGTAACTCCGCCCGGTACCGCTGAGGTACCACTAACTGCCTCATCACAATCGGGTCTGACCCGGATACCTGCTTATCCATCTCCCGATATAACAGCTGGTTGTCCCAAATAAACCTTTCGCCCTCCCCCCCAGGCGTGTCTGCTGTCACCTTGTCCCTATACACCTGCAAGGTGGGGTCAGTCACTACCTCAGCTGCAAATTCGTTAGGAGGTGCCCAGGGAACACAGTCAAGGGAAGGGGAAGGATCTCTTACCTGGACCTCCGGGAGTGTGTTGTAGTCCTGGGTGCGGGCCTGTTGTCGAGTGACCACAGGGTGAGCTTCTCCTGTGGTGGGTGTCTGGGGCTCAAAAGCAGAGGTGAGCCTCCCCAGATCGTTCCCCAATAAAACCTCCGCCGGTAACTGCGGCATCAACCCCACCTCCACATGCCCTGCCCCCGCTCCCCAATGCAAATGTACCCTTGCTGTGGGTAGCCGTTATACTGCTCCCCCGGCTACCCTGACGGCCACAGTCTTACTAAGTTTAGCTTGGTCTGAGACCAGGTGACTTTTTACCAGGGTGATGGTGGCTCCTGAGTCACGTAGCCCCTGAACCGCTTTACCCTCCAGATACACGGTCTGCCTGTGGTGCTGGCGGTTGTCTGCGTTAGCCTGGACGGGATCTGCCTCGTGCAGTACCTCCCATTGCTCTACTGTGGTGATAGGAACTGCTGAACCATACGGTGTGGCCACGATGTCCTGGTAGTGATGGGCTGCGGCGGCTCTCGGTGGTGGTGGTGGACCGGGTCGGATCCAGGTGGAACGGTCCCGCAGCTGGGGGCATTCCCTTTTATAATGTCCCCACTTCTGGCAGTGGTGGCAAGGGCCCGACGTGGGCTGGCAGAAACGTGGCTGTGCAGCGGGTGGTGGTGGTGGTGGCAGTGACCTTGGTAGAGCTGGCGTGTAGTTATTTCCCCCAAAGGTTTTAAAATGTACTTTTGGAGCTGCAGGTTTTTGCTGCCTGCGTGCATCCAGGTACTCGTCTGCCTTCCTGGCTGCTTCGGTAAGGGAGGTAGGGTTTCTGTCTCTTACCCACTCCTGTACCTCGCTGGTTACTCCTTCATAAAATTGCTCCAGTAGTACCATTTGCAATACATCCTCCATAGACCGTGCCTTGCTCGCTTGCACCCACCCCAAGACTGCTCGTTGTAGTCTGCATGCCTACTCAGCATGTGAGTCTTTCTCCACCTTCTTTAAATCCCTGAACCTCCGCCGGTATGCTTCTGGTGTTATAGCATACCTGGCCAATATAATTTCTTTCACTTTGTGGTAATTCCGTATTTCGTCATTCGGTACAGTCCGGTATGCCTCAGCTGCCCTCCCAGTTAACCTCCCTGCCAGAATAGGTACCCAGTCCTCTGCGCTGATTCTATGTAGTGCACACAGTCTCTCGAAATCTTGCAGGAAAGCGTCTATATCTTCCTCTGCCTCCACATATGTTTTAAAAGCCTGGTACGGTATTTTCGGCTTACCTTCATGTGGCATATTTACTGCAGAGCTGCGTTCTGGGGCCGCTGTTTGACTCCTCAGTATAAATTCCTGGACCTCCGTTATCGTTTTGGAAACAATCTCTGTTGGAGGGTGTTCCCCATAGAAAGACAGCCGAAATTGTACCTGCCTCTGGAACTCCCTTTGTTCCGGTGTTTCTCCCGAATTCCCCTGTTCGGGAACCGAATCGCCTTCCATTCGGTACTCCGCCATCAGTTCAGTGATAAGTGCCGCTTTTGTCTTATTGCTGGCTTGTATACCCTTTGCCTCCAGAAGGTCTTTTAGCGTGGAGCGTTTTAGTGTGGCAAAATCAATCTCCATCCGTACTCCATTTAGGCTTGTTCCTCTGTGAGTCTGGATCCCACCGCTGCCAACCAATGTAGCGGAGATGCAATATTACCCAGGTTATCTCCGCTTATAATCCAAGTGAGACTCAGGAACAAGTAAATAGTAAATCCAAAGGCAGGGTTTCCAGCAGGTAAAATACAGCAATATCCCAACAGCAATCCCAATAACTGGACGACACACAGTTTCAGGAGCATAACCGACAAGCCTTTAATCACAGTCTCCTTATAAAGCATGCTCCCATGCAAGGGAGGGATTTACAGTAATTATTACAGTAGCCAATCCTGTCCTGGTAACCTCCCACACCATCTCCTCCCCTCAGCCAGCATCATAATCCCCTTATCCAGCACACCAATTCCCCCCATTTCTGGATGTACCCCTAAACGTAGGGGTACCTCTTTAAATCATACATCCCCTGGATAGCCCTGATCTGGGTGAACAACATATCCAAAAATCACCCAGATCAGACCAGGGGTTCGGGAAAAGTATGGAGGGAATAAAATGACCGACCGCACGAACTGAGATAGCCGAATTCGGTTCCATGTGAATGGGCCTTGCGGTCGGTCCTGGCATAAGGGAATAAAATACACGAAAGCCTCTAGCTATAGAGACTAGGGAGGGTTCGCCTGAATCCCCTCGTTCGGTATTCTCTATCTACCGAACGAGGGGCCGTTCGGTAGTTTGGAACCGAACGGACCAGGGCTGTGGAGGTCTCAGCGGTGTTCGCCTACTCGAGTGTCCGATTTTAGTTCCAGACACTCGACGGCAAAACACCGCTGTTCGGGAGTTTTAAAATGGCCGCCGCCACGTGTTCGTTTGTCGAATGGCGGCCACCCCCGAGAACAAAGGACGGCTACTTACTGTTCAATTACCCGTTCGCAACAATGTTGCAACGGGTAATTGAAGACACACTTCACACAGGGGAGGTCTGGTTGTTCGGTAGTTTCATTCGAATAAACTAAGGGAATGAAACTACCGAACAATCAAGGGAATACAATTCTTTTTAATACACAGAAAATACAGCAGATACACGGATGCAGCTTTATACAGTATTTTTGTAGGGTCGCCTGGTGCCATCCGCGACTATCTCTACTATTGATATTATCTGTATATATAATTTTTATCTTTTGCGCAACCTTTCCTTGTCTTGTCTTGTTTTATATTAGTTTCTTGTAGTTGGCCACCAGGTTTGCCCACATCTCAGGAGGGATTTTGTCCTCTTTGCAGATCCTCTCCAAGTCATTAGGGTTTCGAGGCTGACATTTGGCAACTTGAACCTTCAGCTCCTTCCACATATTTTCTATGGGATTAAGGTCTGGAGAATGGCTAGGCCACTCAATGACCTTACTGTGCTTCTTATTGAGCCACTCATTTGTTGCCTTGGATGTGTGTTTTGGGTCATTATTATGCTGGAATACCAATCCACTACCCATTTTCAATGCCCTGGCTGAGGGAAGGAGGTTCTCACCCAAGATTTGATGGTACATGACCCTGTCCATCGTGCATTTGATGCAGTGCAGTTGTCCTGTCCCCTTAGCAGAAAAACATCACCAAAGCATAATGTTTGATGGTGGGGGTGGTGTTCTTGGGGTCATAGACAGCATTCCTCCTTCTCCAAACACGGCAACTTCAGTTGAGGCCAAAGAGCTCAATTTTGGTCTTATCTGACCACAACACTTTCAACCAGTTCTCATCTGAATCATTCAGATGCTCATTGGCAAACTTCATACAGGCCTTGTTATTTTGCAAATGCAAATATTACAAGTTTTAGAATGAAATATTGTATTTCTAAAACTGTGTACTTTGTCTATAAGAGATATTGCAAACTGACAAGGTGTTAGAAATGGAACATACTGTTTTTCATAACTGTTTCTTTAAGCAATAACCTCTTACCTA